ATATATATAGCTATTAGAAACACTGAAACTTCCTCAAAACTGTGAAGCCAGTTGAGTAGAGAAGAGTAATTTAGGGTTGATAGAGGAACAAATATAAGTATGCTGTGTGCATATGCAAATATGCCCAAACAAACCCACTAATGTGCACAACCAATAAAAGAGTGAGTTAATTAAAAAGAAAAAAACAAAAATTGTTTACACATGAAAGACCTAGTTTTAAATTTTCCTGAAGGTAAGCTGCAGAATAGCTTATTTTGTAAATTGTTTTGTCTAAATTGATCTTCTAGTTGGTCATTATCCTTGAAGTTTAGCAGCTGGTCAAGCATTCAGAGCTCCAATTGGGATTGGGAGAAGGACATGAGATTTTAAACTCAGTGCTTGGCCATTCATTGAATCTTGTGAACTGAATGTGATACTAAATTATTTTGAACTGAATTTTCTCTACTAATTAGAAACACCAATGACAATCAATAGTAATTTTATGAGTTATAAAAGAAAAACTTAGTAAAACATGGCATCACCTTGTATCAGGATTTTGATAAACAGTATCTACTATTTCAATTGTTTTGTAAAATATCCACATATCTATTTTCATCATTTTAAGAAATGGATAATTGTTAACTGCAACAGATATAAAGTTTACAGGATATTGTATCAATGAGTATTCATTATTTTCTTTTTTCTTAAAATATTCTTGAATATTTTAGAAAACCATCAATCTTGTGGCATACAAAGCATTTTCTGAAGGAGTATTCTGATTTGGAGAAATATGGAAAAAACATAATGAACAGTATTCAATAACGTGGAAATAATGGTTGCTGGTATATACTGAGTAGGCATCATTTCCCAGCACTTGCCTTAATGAACTGTCCTTTCCTCTCCATTCCCATCTAAAGTCAGAGAACATGCTGCTCTAAAGCATATGATCCTAGTGGCTGCACTAACTCCTCCCAAAGGAGATGACATCCTACTCTAATAATGATGAATCACTCAGCAGGACATTCTCTGAGCCAGATCCAGTAACAGGAGCAAAAAGAAAGAAAGAAAGAAAGAAAGAAAGAAAGAAAGAAAGAAAGAAAGAAAGAAAGAAAGAAAGAAAGAAAGAAAGAAAGAGGGAAAGAAAGAAAGAAAGGAAAAGAAAAAGAGACAAAGAAGAAATAGTTTAAGGCCCTGACAAACTTATGCCTCTGTTTGGGCAATCCAAATTTGTACTAGTTGCAGAGATATAATCTTCATAAATTAGAGAAGTTTTTTTTTTAATTTTGTATCTTTCCTAATTCATCCTCTGAAAATAAGGAAAGTTAAGAAAAAAAGTTTGAGCTCCCCACAGAGCAATAAGGTTAAATTTGAACAGGTTATAAAGGTACAGAGACATTATGTTCTCTTCAAGGAACTATGAGTATTTCTTAAGAACAAACCAACTCATTAAAAAATTCACACTGTCCTTTGTACTCCAATTTACTCATCTAATCATTTAATCAGTTTAGCATTCCCTCCAAAATGTAAATATTATTTAATTTACCAGTCAAGTTGCCTTATGAAAATTACTACTAGCATGATTGCCTCTGGATAAGGACAAAGCAGCTAAGGAAAAAATGTATTTAATAAGATCATTTCACCCTTTTGGTGTGAGACTATCAAAAACATGTCCAGACTAGAAAATTATACATCTTGGTAAAAATTCTAAACATTATTCTAATTACCATTTTTAAAACAAAAAAAATTCCCTATGGTTTTTAAAAACAAACCCACATATTCTAGCGAATATTTTAATGTTAACCATTTAAATAGCTCACCTGTTTCAAATGCTCCTGTATTTTTGACTCCACATCTTCAATGTGTGAAATCATTTTATTGACACATGGCGCTGGGATGTTAACGACAGCGCAGCTCTGTCTTCGACATGGATAGTTAAAGTAAAGACCTTTATTAACCTCTAAATGGAAGCAGACAGAGGAATTAATAGTTATAGCCAAAGTAATACATCTTGATGTTCAGGATATGCACAAAGTGTTCTTCAGCAACAGTAATAATACTCAAAATTTCTTTGACAAATGATCAAGAAATATGTCAAAACATATAGAATAAACTTTCAAATAAGCTAAAAGAAGAAAAAAATGATGAGTTAATAAAGTGATAAATAAACAGGGGCCTAAGGAGCCCAACTGACTGTTCAAGCAGATTAAGGATTTAATGTGCTCCATATTATAAATAGACATCAACAAAAGAAAAACGATGGAAAGACGGTTAATGCCGCTTTTTAAATGGATCCTGAATCACCTAAAGTTAACTCTGAAAAGTACTTTAAATATGCCCTTCAAAACGATGCCACATTTCCTAATTAAATAGTATCCAATTACTCATGCATTGAGAAAGTTCTGTGCTAAATCCGGCACAAGGTTCTTTTGCTGAAAAAAAATAAAATAAAATCAGGTCTCCTTCATCCTCGTAATAACCTCATTTTCTACCTTCCATTTTTGAAAATTGGAGTCTCCTGCGAAGAGTGATTGATGCTCTTACTACAGCACCCAAGCCGCACTCATCATAAAATCCACTCCGTCTGATGTGCCTCAGTGATTCTAATCTCAGCATGTCCCGAGTCAACTGAAGGTTGCCAAGGCCCAGCAAAGTTGTCCATGAACGCCACCAAGTGCATACTTGCAGCGCTTATTACTCTGAGAACCCTAGCGAGCTGGATTATAGTTACAATTGCTGATCTTAAAAATGCGCCCTGTGTCTCACTTAGAACAGAGCGTCATTTCAGTTGACCTTGGGGAGCTGAAGTAACATTGAGAAGTAACATTGCTGAATTCTGCTTCAGTGTCTCCCCAGAGGGACAGTAAATGCCTCAATATCTTGGTTTAAACTGCATCATTCAAATATCTTAAATGAAGCCTTGTAATATCCTCTTCTAGAATTACAGTCTCTATTAAAATGACAAATCTGTTTCCTGTACAAATAATTCTGTTATGCTGCCCCATGTCTTGGACTGTGGTATGAATAAATGTGCATCTATACTGCTAACTGAAGCTAACATTTTTACAACTTAGGCTGGCTGTCAGGTTTTGAGGCTAAAAATACGTGCCAGATATGAGGCTAAGTACTTTTAATGTCACATTTTATTAAATTCTCACAACAACCTTACGAAACAGGATTATGGTCTCAATTTCATAGATGAATAAATTAAGGTTTAGAGAAATTATATAACTTATCCAACCTACCACACTGCTGGTAGGTTGGAGGGCTGAATCTGAATGGCATCTCCCTGGTTAGTGAAAGGTAAGCTATACTCTAAGAACTCTTTTTGTGTGTTAAAAATTTAGCAAGCTAAAGAGAAACAGCACAAAATATAATTTGAGGGCATCTCAAATGTTTCACATAACACTTACTATTTTTTATTTTTAAATGTTCCTTCCTTTTATCAATACTGATATGACAACATATTTTAGTTTGATTTGGCCATACCAGGAATTTGGCCATACCTGAAAGTCATTACTCTTGCAACGACTATGCATTTGTGTGCTGTATTCCATCTTTCCTTTGCAGCTCAAAGATACACATAGGAAATATAAGTATAGATTTATATGAATAAAATCTACTCATATTTGGCTCCTTAATAACCAAACAGCCAAAGAACACGGTGATAAAAACTACGTACGGATCGCCTATTCAAATTATCTTAAAAAGAGGGCTGGCCAAATAGCTCAGTGGATTGAAGTGCCTGCAATCAGGAGCTGGGGTGGGGGGTTCAATCCTTGGGCCTGCCATTCTGGCCCCACCCCTGGGGTACACTGAGACTAGGCATAGTGGCATGCACCTGTAATCCCAGCTCTTGGGAGACTGTAAACAGGCAGATCACTACAAGTCCACTCTAGTAGTGAGACCCTGCACACCCTATAGACCCTTCTCTAAAATACAAAGTAAAAACAAAAAAATTATCTTAATAAGAACTTTTTTTTGCTTTCCCTTGGGAAATAAGGTTTTGATATAGATTTAACAAGAGGACAGCTGGTGTTATGATCAAAACACTTGTTTTGCCTCATTAAATATAGGGTAAGCAGGGATAGCAAACATTTTCTATTTTTCTAGACTGTGCCACTCTCTGTGTTATCCTGTGAATAGTAATTGCCACAGCATGTTATGGTATTATAGATTATGATTTTACATATAATGAGCTAGGGGAAATGATACACTGTGTCAATTATTACTAAAACCTCTAAGAGGCATAACGTAATCAGAAAGATAAAACCATCATTCAGGAGTTCATCTTGCTGTTTATGGTCTACTGTGGGCATGGTACAATTTTTTTTTTTCATTTTACACAGTGGCTTAGTTACTTTCTTGCTGCTGAGACAAAAATACACTAGACCCACAATTTAAAGGAGGAAACGCTTCTTTTAGCTCACAGTTCCTAGGGGTTTAGCTCCACAGTCAGCTGGCTCCATGGCAGGAGAGCATCGCAGAGGCTCAGGAGTGCACGCATGGCACCCAAGGGGCAGCATCTCCAAGCCTTCCTTCTGTGACTTTATCCCATCCAAGCTGCAAGTCTTTTGGGTGGTGCGAGCCACACCCTGAACAGGCCTTGCAGTTATCCACAGTCAGAACTATGCTAACCCCATCAGTGGACTCATTTGGTACCACACACCCTTAATCCACATTCGCATACCCTAGACCCAGACACCTTAAAAAAGCCTCACCTCTGAACCTATGAAGCTTTGAAGGGGCATCTAGATTTATAAGCCATAGCTTACAGCTTAAGAAAGAGTATGATATAATCAAATATTATTGACCTAGGTATCCATGTTCATTTTTCTTTTACTTCACTGAAAACTAGCCATACTTCTTACATAACACTGGGACCTAAACCTTAGATTTGTCATTAAATGAACGAGTTGGTAGGGTGGTATGAAGATCTGCTTCACCTAATATTCTGTGACATGATCAATTAATGTTTTTAGTCAAACATTGATGGGTTACCTCCTCTTGCAACCTGTGCACAAAGGGTTCGGTGCATATGTACAAATGTAGCTGAAGCAGAATGCTCATCTCTTTAACTAAACTCTCGTGTTTCATCTCTCAACTCCAGGTCTTCTTGGCCAGAATCAAAGCATAAAGGTAAGAATCTTTTCCCCATGTATACGCCAAAAATCAGGCTTGTTGAGCCAGCACCGTGCAACTTCCACTTGAAGACAGCTATGGATGGGCCGATGGTGTTGGCAAATGAAGCAGAAATGCTGCATTTAGAAGATGTCAACTCTACAAATTCTGTGAGTTTGGTACTTGCGTAATCAATTTATCCAGACCCAATAATTCAACATTTTATCACTCTAGTTCTTCCTTTCTTTCTGCTTTTAAGGTGTGTTTCCTTTCTATACATCACATCAATAATTCTAGAATGTTTTTAGCTCAATTCAACATCCTAAGGAAAAACTGACTATAAATCCTTTCTCATCTTATTGTGCTTTTACACCTTGCTTTTCTCCTTAAAGCACACAATACATTTGTGCTTGAGTTTAGAAATAATTTCTGTCCTCTGCAAGGCCTCTTGTGATGAACAGGAAATATCTTCAAATTTTTTTAATGGAAGAAACAAACCTCCCTTTAGTTCTTATTTAAGGGGAAATGGAGAAAAAGTGCCTTTCACAGACATTACAATTCTATAACTTTTGGACTACATTATTGGAGAGAATAATCACTGAATGTAAAGAATGCTCTCAAGACTTCAAGGTCCCTAAGGTTCTTTTCTATACTAATCTCTTCCCATGTACAGAAGTCTTTGTTCAATGTTTATGTAGTGCCAGTCTCTTCAGTGTCTTCAAGGAACTGAAATTTTGAAGCATTTACCCTCGCTTCCCTCAAGCAGTCACCGATCTTCCAAATACTCTGCCTGACCACTTCATGTAGCCATTATTCTACATTGAAATTCTGTCACTTCTAGCATATTTTAGCAGTCTGTACCAGCAGCTGCAATATTTTCATGTCTTGCTTCCTTCTTCAAATTATAATTGCTATACTAGTGTTCAGGTTCATCTTACATCGCTTCTTCTCTAAAGGAAATTCTTGAATTTTTAAACACTGAGTGGATCTTCAGCACATTCAGGTTTTCTTCATTACAATTGATCACATTCCTGTTTACTGCATCACAATTACCTGTTTTCCTGTGCGTCTTCTTTTTTATGTTTTAATTCTTTAGAGATTCCAACTATACTTAATACCTTTAAACAATTGCTAAGTAAATGAATAGATAAATACTTATATTTAAAAATATATTATATTAGGCCAGGGAGATAGCTCAACAGCATAAGTGTCTGTCTAGCAAACACAAGGTCTTGAGTTCAAGACCCAGTAAACACCTCCCCTGCAAAATAAAGACTATTAAAAATATATTTTAATCTGTCTTCTGTTCTCTCCAACTTTTGGAAACTTCATTCCTAAAACCCACTATGCAGTATTTCCACAACCAACAATAAAAGAGTAACTGATACAGAATATGACCTCCATCATAAACAACTCTAAATCCGGACTGGAAATATGAGAAAACTTTATGCCGACATTACAAAACAAACGGAGCAAAGCTTAGATTTCTGAAAACATGGAAATTCATGAGGTTGAGTCCCAGAGTCACTGAAGCCTGTGCCAAGGGACGCTTTCCCACTGTGGTATAGAGAGCTAGGAGCACAAGAGAATGTGGCCGTCTTGATTGGAGCAGCAATTAGTCTTGTGGGCAGTGGAAATATCTAGAATCCTCTGGGAGGAAACTGGAACAGAAAAGTCATGAGCAAAAGGACCCCTGAAGTCCATGTGGAGTGCATTCTGACATCTAATTTATAAAATCACACAAGGAAAGACTTGTATTCAGAATGCAGAGAGAATTTACAACTTACTATTCAGGAGAAAAGCATAAGACATGGACTCTTCACAATAGACAAGTGACTGCTAAGCACGTGATAAAATGCTCAGCATCCTTGGTCATCAGAAAAGTGAAAATTTAATTAATGTTCAGTATTGCTTGACATGCTGCCAGAATGTCTAAAGTTTAAAAGGCGGGCACACTCCAGTACTGGTGGGAATGGAGAACAACTAGAGCTCACATGTCACTTTTGGAGTTGCAGAATGATGATATACTCTGGAAATCGGTTTGACAGCACCTTATAAAAGTGAAGTATACACTTATCATATTACTCAGCAACCTAATCCCATGTATTTAGTGATAGTAAATAAATAATAAGTAAAAATATGTTCACAAAATCACTTCTGTGTCATTGTTCACATTAGCTTTATTCATTGTAGCCCAAAATGTGAAAATTACACGTATCTATCAATTGCTAAATAAACATAGTTGTGCAGAATTCATACAAGAGACTAGTATTGTAAAATAAAAGTGAACAACTTGATAAGATATATAGAGTATCGATATAGTTCACATTTTCCTGAGTCTTTGAAAGAAACTGAACACAAGACTACAAATAGAACAATTTCACTTATTTGAAATTTAAGCACGAAAATCTAAAATCCATCAGTGTTTATTGGGAGAGGGTGAAGTGAAACTGACTACAAAAGGGTCTGAAGGATTCCCTGGAAGGGAAGCAATTTCCATATTGTATTTGAAGTCATGGCCAAACGGATATGTGTGTTCAACTGTACACTGAAAAAGAGTGGATTTGATCGTATTTCAATTTTACCTTAATAATTTACTTTTGTGAAAAGATCACCACCCTTACTCCAGTGACAAAATTTGATGGGCTTTTATTTATCACCCTCCTCCTTCTCTTTTAACTCTATTTTCAACTGTGGTACAGAGAACCCTTCTTCGGATGTAGATGTACTTGTTTCCTTTTCTACAACATATCAACTTTTCAATGAGTACATTCTATCAACAAAACACAAAAAGGAACACACAAAATTTACCTCCCTGAAACTTGAAAGCATCAGATCTCCTACATTCTGGGAGAAGAGAACCCTTCCTTGAAATATGCTATTTGTTTAATAACTGTCTCTAACTGCTTTATCTACTTATCGTCATAGTCTTTGCAAACATGGCAACCAAACAAATTAATAATTTAAGAAACTGACAACTAAACTTAAGAAATGATCTCCTAGCCCCCAAAGGCCCTGGTCATAGGAAAGGGGAAGCTGAGCTTGCAAGATCTTGTGCAGGAATGGAGAAAAGATTTCAGTTAAAACCAGAATGTAGGAGATCTGATGCTCTCAAGTTTTAGGCAGGTAAATTTTGTGTGTTCCTTCTTGTATTTTGTTGATAGAATGTACCCATTGAAAAGTTAATATGCTGTAGAAAACGAAACAAGTACATTCACAGCAGTAAGCCAAGATGGCAACGCAACACAAGTTACAGAGAAAAAGAAACATTTGCATAGTCATACACAGGGCTAGAGTAAAAGGGAGTGGGGTGTCTAGGGGGAGTGCAAGGTGAGGACCATGCCTGGTTTGCAGAAGAGACAAAAAACTTTGATTGACAAAGATAACAAGATGGTTAAGATGCTGCAAGATGAAACTTGTGCTTATACTGATTATTGCCCCCAATCTATTTGGCTTCAAACATTTGGATTTGGTCAAGGTCAGAATGTCAGAGGTCATCTTGAAAGGTTCAGTTTACGTACAAATCCAGTATCTATAAAATAGGACTGGGAAGATAATTCGGTGGTCTAAGTGCCTGCCTGGCAAGCACAGGGACTCAGGCTTGATCCTTGGTACCACATCCCATGCCAGCTCAGGAAGCCTGGGCACGCCAAGCAGACCCAAAACTGGGCATGGGAATGCACTCCTGTAATCCCAGAGCTCAGGAGACTGAGACAAGAAGATCACTATGAATCTAAACTGCATAATGAGACCCTGCACCAAAGAAAGAAAGAAAGAAGGAAGGAAGGAAGGAAGGAAGGAAGGAAGGAAGGAAGGAAGGAAGAGATAAAAGAAATAAGAAAGTCTCCAACAGCTAAATCCCTTTGAATCTACTACTCTATTCCTGTAGGGACTATTGAGACACCAAATTTTTTTTTTTTTTTTTTTTTTTTTTTACTGGTGATTGAACTCAGGCCCTTGTGCTTGCCAGGGAAGTGCTTATTCCACTGAGCCATCTCCCCAGCCCCTAGACACCAAATATTAATCCCTTTGCAATTAATATTGCTGTCTAATCTCTATCATGTCCTTGTAATATTTTCTAATGCCCCTCATAAACACTGATCCTTCCTGGACCAGTTGCTTGCATAACAGAAGTCTGAACCATAATAATAAAACAATCATTTCCTGCATTTTCTTTGGTAGCCAAAACATTTTGCAAGACTTGCTCAGATTCTGAAACCAAAGCCTTTGTTCATGCAGCATTACTATCAAATATATTTAGGATGAAGAACCGAGAAAGAAAATGGAAAGTTCACATTCTTGACCCCCAAATAACAAATGCTCCTGGGCTCTACTTTAATGATTTCTAGATTTATACTGATCAACTAGCTCCATGTCTGCAATTCCTGTCTATGCAACCACCACAATCGTCTGTCTTTACCATATATCCAGTTACTTCTTTCCCATTATTATTCGACGCATGTAGTTCTGCTTACGTAAATCAATCCCTTCATTTTTTAATATACAAATGTGTCCTCTCTGTTTCAGTTCAATGTCTTCTCACCGTTAATATCTATCTTAATAATCTTGGAGACTATTCAAATAGGTCTTTCTCAAAACACTGAAGATATTTCTTATCTATAGCATTCACTTGGCATATGCTACTTAGTGTCATTCTCTTTGTACTTTTTTAAACAATTGTTTTCTGATGAATTGTGCAAGTCATTACACATATTTATATTTTCTTTGTTCTGTTTTTTGTATTTCTTGTAAGAGTCTTTACATAGAAATCTCTATATTCTTCTAGCACATGGATTTTTCCAGTGTCAGGAATCAATTGTTTCATACATCATTCATTTCGTATTTTAAAATTCTATCCAAGTTTTTAAGCTTTTATTTATTTATTTGTGACAGGATCTCCCTAAGCAGTTCAGACTCATAGTGATCCTCCTGCCTCAGCCTCCCCAGCACTGGGATTACAGGAGTGCACCACAATGCTCGGTTTCAGTGGCTGGCACAGCACACCCAGGGTTCAGGGGTGGGCAGGGCATGTGGTGCCGGGAATCAAACCTCAGTCCTTGCGCTTGCTCAGCAGGTGCTTCGACCACTGGGCTATCTCCCTAGCCCTTTGTCCAAAATTAACTAAGGAAAATGATTTCTAAATGAAGATGATAAAATTCTATTCAAGATGTCTTTTGGAAAGGAATAGATAAAAGAGTCATAACTGTTACTCATTCAAATGCTATTCTGTTAAACAAAATGAAAGAGCTGAAATTCCCTAAAATCATAATTAACATTTTTATAAATATAAGAAGTCTCCACCAGGTTGATCTGAGAAGAAACTAGTGTGAAAACCTACAAAAGAAAGATCTGTTTACTGTTTTTTTCTACCTCTGTCCACATACAATGTTAGAAACATTTTCAGAGGTAACAGTTACAGACTTTGACTAAACAATGTCTTCCTTTGGGATTAACAGCTCCCAAATATCCTTTCTTTTTCCAAGAGACATATCCCTAGGGAGTGAGAAAAGATCTATCTATTGAAGCAGCTGCCAGGTAGAACACAGGTATTAAAAATGCTTTACAGCATCATTCATTTGTGAAATTATACAAATCTTACAAACTCAGACTGGATATTAAGAATATATTATGCATATATTACAATATTATATTATGATACATAGATTTCCTGCTCTAACAGTGATATGTATCATTCATAAAATACAGCATCAGTATTACAAACTAGTGAGTACAAGGATAGTGTTCATAGTGTCTCATGTGATTTTCATTCAGTCCTCACCTTCAGTATTTGTCATTTTATTTTCATGAAAAATTTCAACCGCTTCTGTAGGGGCACCAACCAGGACCAAAGCTTGTGACACAGCATTATCTAAAAAATAAATAAATAAATAAATAAATAAATAATATTTCAGAGTATATTTAATGCAGATATTTAAAATTACACAGTGGATTAAAGTGCCTGCTTAGGTAGACTCAGGGATCGAGCTTTGATCCCTGGCCTGCCGCACCAGCCCTGCCCCCCGGGGGCACACTGAGCCAGTGATTGAGACTGGGCCTGGTGGCCCACGCTTATAATCCCAGCATGGGAAGCTGAAAACAAGAGGATTCCTATGAGTCTGACCCACATAATAAGACCTGTAGACCCTATATTAAATATATTTTTTAAAAAATTACAACAAAATGTGTAAAAATCTTTGTTGAGAAACTACCGTCTTTAAAAAAAAAACACACTGTCCTAGAAATATTAACCAAGCCAACAGTAAAATGCCTTTTGTATGTTTCTCTGTTTTTAAACCCACAAAAAGGTATTCTAAGTAGTATGAAACTACTAAAAGTAAAGCAACAAATCATTATATGCTGAACCAGGCAGTATTTCAAGCTAAAATATTAAGCAAAAATGGCAAGCTAGTGATTTGCACGCAACTTCTTCATCTCTTTTGGTTTTCTAAAGAGAGCGTCTATGTGACAGAAATATGTAGGTGTGTATAAAATTTTGAGAGCAAGAAACTCTTAGGACAGGTCACCTTTGGAAAGACAGAGGATAGCAAAAGAGAATTTCATATATTATCTCACAGTCTCTGAAGTATTTCAAATTTCTCAAGTGTAAGAATGTTTTTAACAGCTGAAAATTACATGTATCTACTTTACCAGGCAGCAATACTCCTGAATTTTCATCCAAAAGACATGAAAGTATAGATCCACAGAAACACAGAAAATACAGCGCAAGATAGTACTGTAAGTCTTATCCAAAAGAGGGGAAATGAAGCATAACTTCATTTAACAAATAAATGCCAAACACTAGAGAACTTGTTTTTTAAAAATGTTTAAAATCATGCAATGCTTTAATGCTGATTAATGGGAAAAAAGAACAAGTTCTTAGAATACACTAGGGAATCTCAAAATACATAGAAGAAAGAAAGTCAGAGAAAGCATGGTGAATGCCGTGTAACTCCATTATGAGCCTCAAGAGAAGACAAAAATGCATAACATTGTAAATCTAAGATTTTAATGTTTCACGTATATAATTTATTAAGTAAAATATATTATTT